ACCCAGAGACCCCGGTTTACGAACAGGGAGGACAACGGCATCGAGCCAGTCCTCAAAGACTGACGACGACTCCCAGATCCGATTATACAGACTCGGTAAATACTGAGACGTGCACGGAGGGAGATGGCGAAGCATCTCATAATGAATACCATCGGATCCCGCCGCCGTAGAACCGCAGAGGGCCAGGGCAGAACGAAGTTCAGAGAGAGAGAAGGGATCATTATAGGGAAGCTGAAGACGAGTGCAGAAATCTAAAGGACGAGACTCACGGACAGAATTACGAAGAAGGAAAGATTGGGGAAGATGAAGACCAGAGCTAACAGAAGAAAAGTGGGAACCCAGCACGGAAGCGACCTGCAATGGGTCCGCCACAAGAGTATCATGGAGGTGATGGACCGGTGAAACATCGGGAACGAATTTACCCGCTATCTTGCGGATACGCTTCCAGATCTGGGCCAGAGGAGTTTTGGACGTAATTGTTGAGACATAAGATGCCCAACATTCACGTTTAGCTGTACGGTTGGCCCTACGGGCCACCGCACTCGCTTTCCGAAAGAAAAGAAAGCAATCGGTCGTCTGCCTACGGCGGTGCCTCTTCCAGGCTGCACGCTTACAGCGGACAGCCCGATCACAGTCTGCATTCCACCAGGGAACGCACTTCCGTGGACCCCGAGAGGAAGAGCGAGGGATAGAGCGGAGGGCAGCGTTGAAGATAGTGTCATGAAAAAGGAGGAGAGCGCGAGAGAGAGGCAGAAGGCAGAGGTCAGAGAGAGCAACACTGAGGGTAAATAGGGTCCAGTCCGCCTTAGCAAACTGCCACCTAGGGAAAGAGTGGGAAGGGCGAAAAGAGAAAAAGGAAACAAGGATGGGGAAATGATCTCTTCCATGGAGGTCATCAAGAACCTGCCACGAGAAATCTAAGTAAAGAGAAGAAGAGCAGAGAGGAAGATCAATACAAGAAAGGGTGCGAGTCCGAGAGTCCAAATGAGTGGGCTCACCAGAATTCAGAAGAGACAGGGAAGAAGAGAGGAGAAACGGCTCAAGAAGGCGACCCCGGGTATTCGTCAGGGCGTCACCCCAAAGACAATGACAACAATTGAAATCACCCAGCAGGAGCACAGGCTCCGGCAAGAAGTCGAGGTGGTGTTTCAAATCAGGAAGAGAAAGCGGGACACTCGGGGGGAGATAAATGGAACAAACTGTGTACCATTTCCCACAAAGATACGAGCAGCAGAACAATGGAGAGGCGAAGGAAAAAGTAAATGAACAAAGGGAACATCAGCACGAATCAAGAGAGCAGAAGAATTAGAAGCCCCAGCAACGGCTGGGGGGGGGGGGGGAAGAGAGATTAAGGAATAGCCACGAAAACGACCAGGACGAGCACCAAGCATTGGCTCCTGGAGACGGACACAAAAGGGCAAAAACCGCGAAATCAGAAGTTGGAGTTCAAGGAAATTGGCGTAATAACCTCGAACGTTCCATTAAAGAATGGACAACGACGAGAAGAGAAAGAACAAAAACAGAGAACAAGGAAGAAACAAAGGCGAAAGAGCAACAGAGCACGTTAAAGAATATCAAGGTCGGGATCAGGGTCATCAAAGTCAGGGTTAGGGGGCATGGGTAAACTGAGCAAAGACGGAGGGAAGGAAACGGGAGAACAGATCAGAGGTGGGCGGGCGGGGTCAGGAGGAAGAGGAGGAGACAATGGAGAGGAGGAGGAAGAGGAGACAATGGAGAGGAGCAGTCAAGGACAGCAGCAGTATGAGGGGGGGGGGTAGAAAGAGGGGAGCGCACCTCAGCAAGGGCAGCAACCGACAGGGAAGCGGGGGCTAAAAAAACCTCCATAGCAGGAACAGGGGGCGCAACCACCGAAATGGGAGGGGAAGGAGCGAGAGAGGCAGAAGTAGGGGCCGAGGAAGAAAGCGAAACCTTCTTACCCGCCGGGGAGGAGGAAGGAATGGAGCCAAGCTTACGCTTCTGACTTAAAGAGACAGGTGTCCCAGCAACCACGTACTGGGCAATGGATTCTAGCGTCTCAACAGAAGCTGAACGAGAGCACACATGACGGCCGGTTGGAGAGCGATGGACATCAGCCCGCACCGACAGGCGGCAGGGAGAGTTAAGAGACGGAGGGGAAGGACTGGAAGGAGGAACGGAGGGAGACGAGGAAGAAGACACAGGAGACACGACAGACCGGGTAGAAAGAAGGGGAACCCCAGACAGAGGACCAGGAGGGGGATCCTTCGGGAGAGAACCCAAAGGAACAGAGGGGGCAGTGGGCGTATCACGGTCCAAGGCCCGGAAACGGTTGAGAGTCTGAGGAAGGTGGGAAGGACAAGGAGAGGAAGAGCGCAACACACGAGCATAAGAGATATTATAAGGCAGGAGCCGGCGAACCTGGCGTCTCGCCTCAGTGAAAGATAAACGCTCCCGGTGCTTCAAGTCGAGGACGGCAGCCTCAAGCTTGTAATTGACACATGCACGTGAGAAGGTAGGATGGGCCTCACCGCAGTTGAGGCGACGAGCCTGGGGAGAAGTGCACTCCGACTTAGAGTGACCTTCGCCACCACACAAAGGGAGAGACAGTCCCGGAGCAGCAGAGGGCACCATGCCCAAACCTCCAGCACTTGTTACAGAGCCGAGGAGAGGGAATGCACTCCTGGACAGAGCACCTGGCACCAGCAAGAATGACAGAGGGTGGAAGGGTCCGACCATCAAAGGTAATTCTTCACAACCCGGAGGGGTTGACGGCGACTACCACGAGGGGGACGAGTAAACGTGTCCACCTGGAGAATAGAATGGCCCTGGGCAGCAAAGATATGTCGAATATCGTCGTGGTAGTCACGCAGGTCCCGAACACCGGTCGCAAAATGGCGCGGGAGCAGAATAGTGCCAACACTGGCATTCAACTGAGCGTTCTTCAAGACCCGAACAGGAGTCTCGCCAAGGAAGGATAAGGAAGCCAAGCGGGAAGCAGCATGCTGAGAAGGAGCAGCAATGACACGTGTACCGAGACGAGTGGGGTTGAAAGTAACCGAGGCATCCACGGAATCAACGAGATGTCGATGGAGGGAGAAATCGTCAGGAGGCGCAGAATCAAGAGGGAGGAGATGAAAATATTTGGTTCACGAAGCAGGACCAAACAAGGCTTGATAGATAGCAGAACGGGAAGGAATCGAGCGAGGGCGTCCGTGACGAGGACGGCAGTGAGAACCCCCAGAGAGAGAGAGAGAGAGGGGTTACAAGGCGCAGTAGTTACAACTAGAGATGGAGCCGCGCCAGAGGACGAGGTAGTCACCACTGGGGTCTCGGGGCTCGACCCATCCACAGAGGAGGGAGGTGAGCCAAGGGAAGGAGTCAGAGAGGCCAAAGGAGAAGCAAGATCGGGGCCCAATGCAGCAGAGGCTACAGAACCCGGTCTTCCAACATGGACCGACTCGGGGGCTTGGTCGCCCACCCCACGAGCCTGAGAAGGTAAAGCAGAAACGGTCGAAACAGGGGTTATCATCGCTACGAAAAGGAATATTCATTCACGAATGTGCCCCCACACCCACCATGGAGCCACAATTAGAGGCAGGACACCTAACAAGAAGCTATCGCCGATCATGCCGGGGCCTCCTAGGGGTGTGTCGTGAGTATACGCCCCACAAACGCCACCTTAAGAACCGACAGTCCGTCGAGATCGGGTTCAGTGACGAAAGGGGGATTGACAATAAAAGGTTCCCCTCGCTCTCTATGTCGGGTACTACAGTTCTACGGGTGCAAGAGTATGCCTCCTCAAGCACCCAGGCATCAAAATAGTAGTAGTCCAAGGGAAGAACCAGAACAAGCAAAAGGTCGGCAGGAAACGGCAAGCAGATAGGAGAAGAGGGGAGAGAAAAACGAAACAGAAGGAAATGGAAAAGGTGCTCAGCATAATTGGAGAGGACGGCAGCAGGAGCACAAGGCTAGAAAAGGACAGGACTGTCCCAAGGAGCATCACACTCCGGCAGCCGCCCACTAAGCCTCCCCTCACGGCATCAACGAGCTGAGCGGGGAACAACATCAAAAGTATCCGATTCACCAAGAATTCTATCTAGGGTACAAGTGATCGCGAGGGATGGTCGATCTCTGCCTAAACCTATACCAGGGACCAATAGCGATGTGAATCCCCAAATATTTAATTTTTACCTACACAGAAATTTATTTGTTTTTGTTACATTCCAGCAAATTGAGTATTTCCCAGGGTTCCACTTCTGCAGGGAAGGGTCAACTCCCAGATGCATGTACCCAATGGGAATGCACGGGTCTCCCTGCAATGTTATTGAACCTGTGTTGCATTTAAATAGTGCACCGTGACAGTAGGAAGTGACGCAGCCACTCCCTGTTCGGTACACCCGAGCCACTCACAATGTTAAGTTGTCCCCAAATGTGGATCTTGTGACTGTATGGATTAAGTGCAGAGGTATGCAGCCAAAGAACAGCAGAAAGTAGAACACGTTTGTAGATAAATATTAAGAGATTTAATTACCATTATAGTTTTCCTTGCTGATCAAGTTGTTTTTCTATTTACCAGTTACAGAGTTAGTCATGAAGGTATCCTCTTAGATTTGCATACCAGGGACAGTCAACCTACTTTTCTTAAGAGATCGTGGCTAGGCCAACAAGTACGTCATAAGGTTACTTTAATAAAAATACAAAAATAAAAGAAACGTTGTATAAGTCACACTAACAGCAGTCTATGTTCTCCTTTGGCATTTTCCTATGCCGTTACGTTTTTAAGTCTCAGGAGATGTGCTCCGTTGGAACACTGACTATCTATAAGGCACCAAATAGTCAGTAGCTGGTTTACTAGACATTCCTCCCAGAATGTCATTTTAGTGTAACACCGCACTCTCGCAACCTCAAGAATACAGGTATTAAGGATTACTCTATCTTCACAACCGCTTAGATTTCTCAATAAGTAAATGTGCATGCAATTATTTATTATGTACTCCAAGTCGGCTATTAAAACAACACCCAATGCTTATGTCAAGTTTAATAGCTTATACAGACCGATGATGTTAAACGTTTAATATTACTTTCTTTAAAATCTCAGCATGGATGAAGGTGCTAGAGCTGTCTATAACCGTAGCGGGCTCCGGGGACGAGGACTGTGTCGGTGACTGTGCGGTAGTCCGTGAACACTGTGCTCTTAGTATTGATGTTTGTTCTCACCAACGTTGTCGTGTACGACAGCCTGTGGGGAGTAAATTTATTAATTAGCCATTACAAGTAATCAGGAGGCTGACAGTTCCACTACAATACTGTAATCTTAGAATCGAACTTACACTTGGGTAGCAGTAGTAGTGTAGGTAGTCTGAATGATGACGTAAGAGGTGTGTGCGATGGTCACGTAGTCTAGAGACCTTTCAGTCACAATCCTGAAGTCTGACTGCACGTACGTGACCGTTAGTGTTGAAGGTCTGACAACCACCGTTGTCTGGAGGGCCACGCGGTCATCCACCGGCGTCTGTGCCACCTGTGCAAGACAACACTTAACTAGTCTAAGCTCAGCGTCCAGACCATCGTTTATCACAATACATACCAAGTACTCACCGCGCGTGTTCCAGTGGTGACAGTCTGGACGGTGAGAGAAGTGAGGGTGACAGCCACACTCTGGAAAGCCTGATCAGTGAGGGTGACGAAGCGGTCGATGGTGATGAGCTGGGTGACAGTGGGGTTAAATAGTGCATCCACTCTGCTCACTTGAGGACTGCCATACCTTGCACCAGCGTAAGAGGCCGGACCGCTGCTGCCAGAAGTAGCTCGAGGTCCGCTGCTGACCTGTGCAGCCCTGTCACCGCTGCCGACTCTCTGACTAGAACTGCCAGCTTGATTGGCTTGGCCGAGGTTAATCCCTATTCCTTGACCGCTGCCAAGACCTAATCCAGCACCAAGAAGTGGACCGCTGCCGACGCCCGGGCCGCCACCTACAACTGAACCGCTGACCTGTTGACCCGATGACCCCTGAGAGCTGGCACCTCCCTGTCCTCGGGTCTGACTGCCATAACCAGAGCCAGGCTGTTGGGTTGGGGAATGGATATAGTAGTCCAGATGATGCATAGGAGTGAGCTGGAGCAAGTTTCCTATAAATTCGTAAAATTTATAAGCCAAATAATAAAATTTACGAGGCACTTTCTAGGGAAAAAAAAATTATGCAGTCTTTTCTAAATTTATAAGAATTATTTTACTAGGTTTCACATTTATTGAATACTAGCAGTAGCCGGCCACGCGTTGCTGTGGCTCAAACTTGTGCATTGCCGAGCGACAGCAACCTTCCCAGTCTTCCACACCATTTTCACCTCACCCATCCCTTCGGCCTCCCAACCATTCCCCACTCCACCATCCCCTCGTCCTCCCCACTATGCCCCACACCCCAGTCCCATTGTCCTTCCCACCATTCTCTTTTCCCCCATCCCCTCGTACTCACCATACCAAACTCCTCCGTCCCCTCATCATCCCTACCATTATTCCCCACTCCCTTGTCCTTTGCCTTACCAAACGGTCTGATGTTCCCAATTCTCTGATGGGAACATCAGATCACTATGTTCATCACTGAAATAAGAAAAAGTTAAAAAAAATGAAAGGAAAATGAAAAAAAAACTACTCATGAAATGAACGGTATGGTAAACATCTCAATTCCAAAACAATATCACAAAATAATTCAATAAAATAAAAATCGAAATCTATGAAAATAATATTTATCAATGCAATCTGAAATATTGATGTGGAATTTGACATTCAGTATAGCATGTATGTTGCCATTATGTGCAACAGATGGCGCCGTTCTTCAAAAACGCATGTTTTTACCTGTCACAGGAGTGCCATCTATATAGAAGGTATATAAAACCACGCTCCTATTCGAATGCAACGTTGTCAAAATTTCAAAGCAATCGGTGCAGAGCTTTCAGAGATCAGCGATTTTGAACAAACGAACATTTCCATTTTTTTTATAGAGATTAGGTATGTAGTTGTGCCCAGGTGTCTAAACCATACCATTTCACCAATTTTCTTTACCTAACCACGTTAACTGTGTGCCATGGTAGGGTCCTCTGAAAACAATATGCGACCAAGTTTTAAGAGATGCCGATCCTATTTTACATCGTGGGGGTCCCTTAATGGTTGTCAACCAATTGAAATTGTAACCCCCCCCCCCCCCCCAAAAAAAAAAAAAAAAAAAAAAAAAAAAAAAAAAAAAAAAAAAAAAAAAAGAAGTTCCTAAGGAAGGGAGGGGGCGTGGTGTGCTTAGGAGAGTTTATATTTTAATGTTAACTAGGGAGAAAATTAGCTTTGTACATTCGGAAGTTAGGATCGGTGAATTTTTTTCCTTCTGCTTTGTTAGCTGCAAATTACTGCAAAATTAACGTTCCCCGGAAGTATAGAGCAGGGCCAATTTCAGGCAGTAATTTAGAGTTCAGCGATGAAATTTGAACACCCAATATTATCGACGTTGAAGATTAATATTAGCGCTCATATATATATATGAATATATTTACATTTTATATTTTCAATAGTTTCAACACTATTCAAACTAAAGACTTTAATGTACAGAAGTCTTTAAGACAAGCTCTGGCCTCTAGGGGGATGCCTCACCAAATAATTGACACATACATGGAGGAAAGTCAAAGTAGCCGAATACCTAGGCTTATTAACAGGCACTTTTGTAAAACCTCATGAATGATCAGTATTCGCGATCGAGTAGTGTGTGGATACTACCACCAGGTATCTTAATCACGTGCACAAAACCACGCCTACCACACACACAGAAGAACAAAGGAGCATAGGATCATACACGCGCTACCCAGGAAAATGATATACACTAAATAAGAAGAAATTATGTACACGCACACTAAACACACTCTAAACAACAAGACAAACACACTCATACCACCCACACCACCACGGCACACCACACTGCACCCAAGCACGCAAAATAAAGGGTTACAGGCCAAAGCGAAACACGGCCACAAAAGGAACAGTAGAAAACAGTACAGCAGAAAACCCAGGCCCACGCAGGAGCCAAAACCCCCCTCAAAATCACACACCCACACGCATACGGACACAACCGGCACCCGGAGGTACGGAAAACACACCACACACACACAGGAGCAGCAGCATCTCAAGGGGGGAGACACACAAACACACGCAACCCCCGCCAAGGACACCCAAGAAGCGGAAAGGGAGCGCATAGCAAAGCAAACCCCGAAACCCCCCAACCCCTCTAAACCCCCCCCCATCAACACCCCAACCCCAACCAAGCCGAGAACATCACCTTGCCACCAAGGCACCCGCCGACCCAAAGGCAACCCCACGAACATAGGCATCTGTGAACCACCGACCAAACTCCTCCGGAAAAGCGCGCTGCAACCACCACCAGGTAAACCGCATGCGCCCCCGTAAAATCCTAAAATTCGGGCGATCCCAAAACCCTCCCGCCTCCCAACCCACACACAAAACACATAATCAGCAACCAAAACACACAATGTATTACGCACCCGCTGCGGATAAGCCGGAAAATACAAAAACAAAAACTGCAAAACATCACCCCGACAACCCGGACCACAAAACACCTCCAGGACATCCCGAAACCAGTCCACCAACCCCTGTAACCGGACACAAAAATAAAATACATGCACCTGCGATTCACATAAACCACAGTGAACACACGCCCCAGAATCACGCAAGCCAAGCATACACAACCGCTCATTTGTCGCCAGCGACAAATGCAGAACCCGAAACAGCAATTCACGCTGCTGAGGCGCCAAGAACCGTGCCCCCAAACACGACCAGATACCACCCCAATCCCAACACGGGAACAAGCCCTCCACTCGAGGCCGCACCCGGGGCAACAACACCCCATACACAGCCTTGCACGAGAAAGACAGAAACCCAGGATGGCGGCAGAGCTCCCGAAGAATCCCCACGGCCCAAGAATAAACAGGGGGGTAACCAAGGCCACCTCCTGACAAACCCCCAAATCAACCAAAAAACTGAAGCGAAGCGAGCAGAAAAACACACCCAGCGTATTCAACCCCCCACCGAGAGCCAGCCCCCGACGCAACGAGACCCAGAAGAGGGCCTTGGCCTTCGTGAAAACGTCAGGAATGCCAACACCCCCCTCTCTCACCCCTAACACCAACGTCGAACGGCGCACCGGTTGATAACGCCCACACCATACATATCTATACACCACACTCTCCAAACTCAAGGCCTTCCGACGATCCAACGGGAAACATCGAGCCACAAACCAGACACGCGACAAGACCTTACACGCAACAAGCAGTCCCCTCTGATAAATCGTCAAGGGACGACGCGACAAAAGGCCAACTGCAACACCAACCGACCGAGAGACAGCACCCCCAATTCCACTCCAAGGAGCGATCATAGGAGGCAAACCAAGTAATCCCAAGAACCCGAATCGAGGAGACCACCGGAAACCACGACCTATCCCACACCAGGCGGGAGGCCCACTCACCGATCCCCATCAACCCCGACTTCGCCCGATTAAGAACGGCCCCCGTAGCGGACTCAAACCGCAGGAGAACGTCCTGGACAGCTTCAACAGAACCCTCCGAAGCTACAAATAGAATGGTGTCGTCAGCATACCCGCAAACGGGTAGCCGGAGACCGCACGGCAGACAAGGAGGCACGATCAAGGAACACGCTTTCAGCGCCCGAAAAAGAGGTTCCTGAAAAATCACATACAAAAGCATGGACATGGGACACCCCTGACGATCGGAACGGCAAATAGGAAAAAATGAGCTAAAAAACCCATTCACACAAACGCGACTGCGACTGCGGACATACAACAAACGGATCCACCCCACAAACACCACCGGAAACCCAAGCCTCTCCATAGCACTAAAAACAAACTCTAAAGACACCCGATCAAAGGCCTTGGACCAGTCCAAGCTGACCATAGCCGCCGAAAGCCGATACTCGGACGCATAGAGAAGCACGTCACGAAGTAAGGCATTGCAATGCATCAGGGCACGGCCAGGCACACCACAAAATTGCTCCATAGAGACCACCGACGCAACGACACCCCGACATCGACGCGCTAAAACCTTAGAAAGAATTTTATAATCAACATTTAAGAGCGTAATAGGCCTCCAATTGGAAAACAACTGCAAATCGCCCGGCTTCGGGAGTAGCCGCACGATCCCGTCACAGAAGGAATCAGGCAGAGCACCCAAACGCAAACACGCCTGCACCACTTCCAAAAGCACCCCCCCCCCAGCACATCCCAAAAGGTAAGGTAGAACTCAATGGGCAGGCCATCCGCACCCGGCACTCTCCCAGAACGAAACGACCGAACCACCTCCAGGAGCTCCACCGTGGAAACATCCTGCACCAACCGGGCACACTCCGAGCGCGACAAACCGGGAAAGCACCTGTCCAAAAAGGAACCCGCGAGCACACTATCACCATGCACCTCCCCATAGAGGGCCTCCAACTCCCGCCGTGCGGTAAGCAGAACACCCTCTGTGCTAGAAAGCACAGACCCATCAGGCCGCCGAAGGCCCTGGAGAAGAACGGAACCCCTAGCAGCCTTCTCCCTCCCTAAAGAAAGGGAGAGAGCCTCTCCCCATCCACCCGCTCAGCTACACGAGCACGCACGCGAACACCGTCAGCCAACACCGCACGCAAATCACAAATACGCTCCTTACACTCAGCAATCTCACTAAAGCAGTCAACCCCAGCATTCAACCGCACATATAAAGAAGACAAACGCGCCTGAAGGAACCGCAGCAGACCAAACCTCCCGGCAGCCTCCCGCTTAGCAACAATCCCAAAAAACCTCCGACACTCCACCTTACACCACTCCCACCAAACGAACAAAGAGGAGAAATCAGCCTTCCGGGCAACGATGCCAACCCACCAGGCCCGAAACTGCGCACAAATACGTGGACAAACGCAATAACCGACAATTGAGTTTCCACCACCCAGGCCCCACCCGCACCTGACTCCGGACACCAACCCGTACAACCACCATACAATGATCCGAGAAAGCCACCGGGACCGTGCGAAAATCAAAAACCGAACACTCCCCACCAGAAACATAGAACCTATCCAACCTAGAACTCGCCCCACGCGCAGCGAAGGTATACTCCAACGAGCCGCCACACAAAACAGCCGCATCGCGAAACCCGCACGCACGCAAAACCTCAATTAAAGCGGCCGAAACATTCCGAGGGTGAGCACTAGAGCAATCCCTCACACTCGTAACACAATTAAAATCCCCCCCAAAGATCAAATCCCGCGTATCATGCCGCAGGTATGGCAAAAGCCCCTCCCGAAAAAACAGCTCCCGGTCCTGACGATGCGCCACCCCAGAAGGGGCGTACACTGTCAAGAACGGAATCACAACCCCCAAATACTCAGACCCGAACAAACAAGACCCTCCCATCTTCATCCATTTCCGTGTGAAGCACGGAAATGGATGCCCTCCGCGAAAACAACATCAGCGTTCCCCCAAGGACGTCCTCGGCGGGTTCAGCACAACATGATACTCAGCACACAACCCCTGCAACACAGACACATCCCGAACATTGTGCTCTTGGATCAGAGCCACATCCACCCGCTGCTCCCGAAGCACATCCACAAGGCCCAATTGGACCGCCAAAGCATTCAGACCACGAACATTCAAAGACGCACAAACAATAGCAGGCGCCATCGAACATATTAATGACCCCCAGCCCCTCCAGGACCACCAGAGGGCACAGAGCCACCCACTGCAGAGGCGCCGTCAGCATCCCGAGGCTCAAACTGCCGCCGTTCCACGTCGGGGAATCCACCATAATGCCTGGCCTCTGATCCCGCAGGAGGCGGACAGTGCCGGCATCACCCAGCGAAGCACGCCGAGACCCCGCTGCCACTGAACAGGTATCACCAACGTCCACCACACGACGAGGAATTCTTGCTGCCAACCGGCACTGCATCACTTCCGGAATCCATATCAGACACAGGAGAATTAGGAGGAGGAGGGGGGGCACCACCCAAGGCACAACTCCGCGAAGCCTCAATCCGTTTGCCAGGGGGGCTCTCGACTGCGTGAGCGCGCCCCCCCGCAACGCGCTTCCGGCGAGGAGCATGGGAGGTCAACGCCCCCTCATGGCACGCACCCCGCAGGGGGAGCAGTAGGCGGACTCGCAATGCATGCAACAGGAACGCCGGCACCAATGACGACGCTCCCATCACCCTCAGTGAAAGCATCGCCTACAACGGGAGGCACCGAGACGACACTCCCAACACCTCGCCCATTCACCAACGAAGCACCATGAACAGGATGCACCTCCACATCCACCGGAAGGAGAAGACGGGAATCAGGAGCAGCCACGTCCTCCACCACAGCTGGCACAGAAGACACGAATAGGCACAGACGAACCAGCAGGCACATCAAGTCGCAGGGCGGTGCACCACCAGGCACCACAGTCCGCAGTTGCACCACCAGGCACAGCAGTCGCAGGTGCACCACCAGGCACAGCAGTCGCAGGTGCACCACCAGGCACAGCAGTCTCAGGGTGCACCACCAGTCACAGCAGTCGCAGGTGCAGCCACCAGGCCCAAACAGGCGCAGGTGCACCACCAGGTTACAGCAGTCGCAGGTGCACCACCAGGCACAGCAGTCGCAAGTGCACCACCAGGCACAGCCGACGCAGGTGCAACACACCAGGCACAGCAGACGCAGGGTGCACCACCAGGCACAGCAGTCGCAGGTGCACCACCTGCGACACTAGTTATACCAACGATCGAAATTTTGATCGTTCAGGGTTATGGCTTAGCGAGATCTGAAATTGCCAGATTCCTAAACAAAAATTCTTACCATTTTAATTCAAGGCAAACCTTTAGCATAACTAGTCTTGGCAAGCCGAAATTAAGGCACGCAATTTCAGAAGTAGTCGAGAAGTGTTTAAATTGTTAACATTCCTCGAGATTTATAAGCGATTAGAAAGGTACAATTTTTGCCAACACTTTCTGGAACATTTATCTAACCCAATATTTACTTACTGTGGAAATTTGTGCACCAACCAACACCCGGGACACCAGGGTCGTCCATAGCAGCAATACCAAGGAATACGAACACATCTGAAATTAATAACCGTTACTATTCAAAATCAGAGGTGGGAGACCAGTGTTACATGTACTGACTGAAATTTACAGGAAAACTATGAAAAAATATGCATATGTATTTACTTCTACCTTCACAAGATTAACTAGCTACACAAATTTGTTTCGGAAAAAGTGAAATACGCAAGCTAGTAATAAACATTAACTTTACTGAAACACTAAATCAACACAAATGCACTATTCACAGCACTAGGTAATAAATTATTATTCATCATTTTAACAGAAACTTTGCTAAGTAAAGCCTATACCCAACTTCAACTTAGCTGGTTATAAAGCCATTCATAACTGCAGGCCTAATAAAAAAGGAGGTGGCACAGCAATATTTTACAAAGATACCTTCATCTGCAATAGTGTCATTGGTGAAAGAGACCACTATTTTGAATATACCTTTGCCAAGTTCTCCAGTAAATCCCCTAAAACCTCCATGACTATCTGTGCCATCTATAGATTTCCTAATACCAACATAGCTTCATTCTCAGACAACGTAAGGAATCTTATAAATGACAATCTCAACAAAAATCACATCATTCTAGGAGGCGATTTCAATATTGACCTAGGTCTTCAAAATAACACTCGTCGACTATTTCTGTAACAGCATGCACTCTTGTATGCTAATCCCCACAATTGCCAAGCCCACTCGAGTCACTCATATCTGCCACTACCTTTGATCACTTATGGACTAATTTAACAGCTCCCCTTACATCTGGGGTAATTATGAAAGAACAACCGACAACTATCCTACCTTCCTCATAGCAAACAGGGATACAATACCTCCAGAAAGCAAGAAACTCATTCAGGCTACACAGTGAATCAGCTTTAGGCAATCTCTGTAATGTTATTCACAATATTAACTGGGAATCTGATTTCAGTAATAAACAGGATATGAACTTATTAACTAACCTCTTTCTCTCCAAAACTAAGCCTCTACAACACTCCCTGTCCCCTCCTTTCCAAAGAGGTAACCGACAAAAGAAAAAACAATCCGTGGCTCACAAGTGGCATAATCAAGTCTAAATACATATGAAAAATTTCAGTATTGGCCTAGTTACAAAAGGAAGTAGTTAAAAGGTATTCATCAGTGCTTATCAGTATCATATGAAAAGCCAAACTTTCATATTATGAGACTAGATTGAAAAAAAAGCAAAAGGCATTAGGAAAAGCACATATTATACCATCTCTAATATCCTAGGAACAAACGCTCCCCCAACCAGATAACACTAAGGATAGCTTTACACCGTCAACCGATTTAGAAGTGGCAAATTAATTTAATAGCTTCTTTTCATTGGTTGGTGCTAACCTTGCCATTAAGATCCCACAGACATATCAATACATCTCAGGCAGCTATCCAAACTCTCCTCTTTCACCAGTCAGCCCGACAGACGTGTCCATCATACACATTAAAAACCACAGCTGGGAACATCAGTGAAATCCCATCCATTGTATACAAGAGCCTCCCAAATCCTTGTGACACTTATAGCTCTGCTGTTCAACAAATCCTTCGAGTGCCATACCTTCCCTGATATCCTTAAAGAAGCAAGAGTAACGCCAGTTCATAAAGGATGTAATCCGGCAGACAAACAATTATAGACCAATATCAAACCTACCCATCCTATCAAAAATATTTGAAAAAAAAAATGATCTACAAACAGCTCTACTCCTATCTCGTAAAATTTGACACTCTTAGCCCTTGTCAGTTTGGCTTCCGCTCCCCCCCCCCCCCAAAAAAAAGTACCAAGGATGCAATTATTAGTCTGAATATAATTTACTCAGCCCTTGACAAAAATGAGTTTCCGATTGGACTCATCATTGACCTGATAAAGGCCTTTGACACTATCACAGTTACCTCTTACGTAAATTCCATCATGGAATCCGAGGCCATGCACTGGACTATATCCAATCCTATCTTAGTGACAGTCTTCAATGTGTAACCATCAATAATAAAACTTCTGCCACTCTACCAATAACCGTTGGAGTGCCACAGGGCAGCATCTTGGGACCTCCCCTATTTCTTATATACATCAATGATCTGCCTAATGTCTCTAGCATTCTGAAACCTATTTTGTTTGCTGATGATACTACCCTCATGTACTCTAACCCCAACCCAGACACTAAATGATAATAATGAACTAATAAAAAGTCTACTTATGGATGTCAACCAATAAACTAACACTTAAAGAAAAGACCCCACTACATTTTATTTGGATGCAAATCTACGAATGCAATTCAGCTTCAGATAGATAATGTAAGCATTAGCAATAAAAATGATGCAAAGTGTCTTGGCCTATTCCTAGACAAGAGACTACTTCAACACCCACATACAACACATAATTAAGAGTCTAAAACAGTTGGGATACTCTCCAAAATCAGATATGTACCTAACTTTGCTCTCATCTCTATATTATGCACTAATCTATCCCTATCTTAATTATGGTATCTGTGCATGGGGTTCAACCACTGCACACCACCTCAAGTCCATCATCACCCAACAAAAATCTGCCATCAGAATAATAAATTCTGCTTTCAGACAACACTCAACCCCCTTGTTTAGCTCCCTTAACATGCTAAACAATCTCACTCTACAAATTTTCTTGTGCCAATTACATTTACAAAACCCTGTTCTTAAACGCAAATCCTGCTCTAAAACTCTCCCTGGACAGATGTAATAACACATTTCCACACCAGAAAAAAATTTCTTTAATATCCCCAGAGTCAAACTTAATCTGCGTAAACACTATGCAAATAATGTGACCCAGTCGATGGAACTCTCAACCTAATGAATTTAAAAGCCGTCCAATCTCTGCGTCATTCAAAAACAAAACTAAAAAGTACCTTATCTCAACTGCATAGTTTTTTTTTTACCTTGTTGCTTTAAAATTGCACTGTATCTATTGCTACCCAATCTCCCGATCTTTATATACCCAATCCGAACATCTTTACCATTGTGATCATTGCTGTCTTGTATGTGCTATCAATCTGCTGTACGGTGTCTGTTAATCTTGTTTAAATTACCATTCAAGATGTCAATGTAGTCAACCAGAGCTTTAATATACCAATGTGCTTTAAATATACTTACTATTCTCATCTCTTTTTTCTTGCAATGTATCTGTAATTTTATTAATTCTGCTAGAATTTACTTAAAATTATACGTTAGATTGAGGACCTGCCCGAAACGCTGCGCGTCCTAGTGGCTTTACAAAACTGTAAATACTAGGCTATGTATTCTCTCTAACCCAATGTACCTTCTAGTATATAAATAAATACATGAACTTATTACTACAACACGCACAAACCTTATAATATAGAAAGAGTGTTGCCAATAAAAGAAGCAATGACTAGAATGTCAAGCACAAGAACGCTGCCCGCCTTGTTGCCTTCCCCACTCACTACAAACAGACACACTAACGACAGACTCTGAAACAAGGATAGGAAAGCTCCCTATAAAATGTATGTTCATGTATCACCCAACCCAACGCTCTGCCAACCTATTAGCGCCATCTATTGACGGGCGCGGCTACTACAGGAGAATGTGATACTATTTCATACCGTTCTCAATTACATTAAATCATTGACCATCTTGAGTAATTGTTAAGATTATCTGTTTTTAATTATAATAAATATTAATTTAGTTGTCCGTCTATATTATATAGTTTGTAGTTTGTACTTCACTGTACTTCAATAATCACAATGTTTCCAGTGATTTTACTGAGTTTAACCTCCTATATAAATACAAATATTAAACATATATTAGTCCATAATGAGGTGAGACAAATCAAATAACCAGTCTCGCGAGACTGACCTCAGTCCTTCTGGACGGCGCTTCTTCAAACTTTTTCGTTCGTGACCTAGTTTAATGTTATGCAATACCTCCCGACCCACCGACACATATCATGCACAAATATAAAGTACTGGCGCACCGTCTTGCGTGAACAGATATGTAACATATGTTATTTTCTTAACCATATGATACGTACGTGCATATATTCATACATAAAATGCTCACCTGTGCATTTTGGTGAAGTCTGACTGAATTTTAACCTGTAAGATATGAATTCTTAGAAAAGATGTTGCAAGCAAAGTAAGGGAGAAATTTGTAATTAGGTCATCCCGTTCTCTGAGTAAAGTGATCTCATCGAGTCACCAAACCCACTCTCACACCTGGCGTGTAAATAACTGGGCCTCCACTCTTCAAACAGAATTGGTCGCTATAATCCTTGCACTCGAAAGCGTATATGAATCCAAAGCTGACATGCTAGTTGTAGGTGACTCCTTGTCATCCATGAATGCCCTCAGCTCCCCACGGCATAACTGTGACCTGCTTGTGTCTGAAGCTAGACACATATATAATTAAATAATCAATGAATGAGTCAGAGTTTGTCTGCTGTGGATTCCTTCCCAATATTGGTCTCCGAATGAATGATTAAACTGATGAATTAGCCAAAACCTTTGCTCGTAAAGAGAGAATTGATTACCGTCTTGGACTGACTTTTATCAGCCTGAGGGCAGAAATATTCCGGGAGCATCAACAAAATCTCGTAGATTTGAAGCAAAGTGAAATTCACACCAGTTACTCCATCTTTCATCATTCTATTATGTAGGAAGAACAGTACGTCTATGGGTCATCCAATAAGGTTAGCAGACTTCTAGATGTTACCACTGCTAGGTTTAGTCTCGTCTACAAGTACCTCTGGGAGTTTGTAATATCTGCTTATTTGGATTTGTCTAAATGTAAAATCTGGAAGCATAACTATTCGCATACATTTATTTTATTTTAATTTAAATATATACAAGAAGGTACATTGGGTTTATGAACAAACATAGTATTGATGTTATTACATTCTTTTAAAGCCATCTAATTACAGAAGATAATTTCTTGCACAAATTTCAAAAAATGTTAACAGGTACATTGTAAGAAAATCTGACAAAGATTTTTTCATTTTATTTGGTAAACACAAATACAACGTAACAGAAAAACATCAACATCATTATTCCCATTAACAAGGCAAGAAACACATGAACAAAACTCAAGAACAGTAAAACAAACACACAAACAAAAGTCGTATAATACACAAAATGGAAACATAAACATAGGTAAACTTTTAAACAGTCGGAAAAGAAAAAGCACCAGAGCACTATAAACCAACAAGAACCAGGCACGAAACACATGAAAAAATAACCGTGTCTCACAGCACATCAAAACATAAGCAACACAGAGCAAGAACCACACACACAGTTAATCATCTTATATTAATCCGGACATAGACGAGGAGGGTACTTCTTCCTGTAGGCATCCCACCGAGCACACACCTCCGCAGACGAGTTAACGTGACAACGCGATCCCCGCGCTCGATACATGAAGTCAGGAACATCCAGCTCGGCGATCACTACCATTGGGGCGTAAGTCACTGGAAGAGGCCGCACAGAGCTCGGCGGCGCAACTACAAAGGGCTGGAGCACAGGAGCTGGCCGGACACAGGGCGGCAGCACAACGGGGAGAGCCGTAGGGGACAAAATCGCAGAGGGCGATGGCGCAGGGGCCGACACTACAGGGCCTGAGTAACACAAGGCGGCTGAGCAGAGGACAGCCGCACAGTGGTCGGCATCACCGAGGGCAGACGCAGGTAGGACGCAGACATGGAATCCAGAGGCATGGAGGCCGCCGGAACCGAATCTTTCTTAAGAACAATCACCAAGTCCCCTCTCCCGCAATCGCGGCCGGTGCCACAACCATTCAACCCAGGAAACCAGCAACCGGGGATGCAGAGGCAGCCGGAGAAGACACAGGACCCTTTTGACAATCCCACCACAGGTCCCATCATCGCCACAATACGGCCCACAGGAGCCACAGGCACCCCAACATCGTAGCCCAAATCATCATCCACAGAACACGAACTCCCGGAGTCCTCAAAATCCCTGGCGTTGGCCCAGGCCTCACCACGAGGCAGAGACAGACTCGAAGCTAGCCTCGATCGCTTGGACACAGGTCGTAGGTTGTCAGAACTCTCACCCCCGCTAAGAGGCACCGCATCAGAACCTCCTGTTGGCCGCACAACTCCACGCTTTGCGCTATCATTCAACATCACAGCCTCAGCAACCCGGGTAACAGGACCACACACCGCAGGAGACAACACCACGTGCACGTCAACACGGACCGAAGACACATCTTCCGGAGACAGTGCAGGCCGGGGCACAGATTCGATGACTGGAGGCACTACACCACACACCACACGAGACACAGCTGGAGACTTGACTGGAGACGGGGCAGGCAGGTGTGGCTGAAATGGGGGGTGCTGGGGTCGCACTAACTACCACCCCGATACTCACACCCCCAACCACATCTAGGCGGGCACTGCAAACGGGGGAAATTCCTCCTTCCGGAAGAGGTTCAGAGGGCCAACCCGGCTTGCACCACAACCCGCAGCCTGGTGGCCCAATAGTCCTCACCGGAAACAAGTCCAGGTCTGACCCGCATGGAATACTCGTACCATGAAGCCCAGAAACAGGAGAGACGAAAGGATGGGGGTCCTTCAATCGCATCGCCACAGTGCGGGTCTTATTTGGGATACCCTTCCACCGCCCGGAGGATTTTGATTTTTATTGTTGCCTCCGGAGGCGGCTAGTTTATTGTGCACCCCATACTCATCCTGTGAGCGGTAGCACAAAAGCATTACAGAGGGCACAAAAGTTCTTTTTCAGACCTCATCTTAGATTATTACATAAAAAATGTCATCTATCCTTCACACCTTTCAGTTACATGTCATCTAGTTACAGAGAATGTTCTATTTCAAGAGCTATATATTTACAGTAAGTCATTATACGTTAATGTTATAGTTAATCATATTGCTAATACATAATTGTTTGATCAATGGAGATATTACAGTCATAGGGGATCTGCTGTTTATTATTCGTCTTCACAATGCTGAGTTTCTTAATCTCATGTCATTTATCTACTGGGAGCCAAATATGGACACAGCGCAAGGATTTCAAGTAATTTATCCTTGGTAATAAAATAGATTGCCATATCATACATTGTAAGGTTTGATTTATCTCTTAATGGCTCAATTTTACTACCATCCGAGATATAGTGTTCCAGTGTGTGTCCCTGACTTCATCCACACACTTAACACTTACTTCATCTAGATCCCTATACAAGCCGAACTACCAGAGATACTTGTAGCCAAGTCTTATTCGAGCTGTGATAACATCTGTTAGTCTACTGACTTTGTTACTTGCCCCAGACACATGTTTTACTTCACACATTTCATTGTGATAAACAGTTGACCTGCTGATTCCAGTTTGCACTGTCCTACTTTCTTCAAATCCGTCCAGGAGTTCTCGTCTAATAACACTTTTAAGGGACCTATTTGATAACTCAAGATTTCGTTCAATACTGTCTTTATTTACTGCAGCCTTAGCGAGGACGTCAATTTTATCATGTTCCTACAGGCCAATGTGAGAAGGAGTCCACAACATTTGTATATTTACCCTCATGCTAGGTATGCTTATATATCTATGTCTGGCTTCTGAGACAAGCACGTTAGTACTTGATTGCAAACTGTTTATTGCTAGTAGTGAGGAAAAGGAGTCTGAAAGAATTAAGCTGTCTACTTCAGTGGTGTCAATGATTTCGAGTGCTACCAACTCAGCTTGCATTGTGGATGCCCAGTTACTAATTCGTATATTCCTTTGAATTGTGCTGCCATCGGGTTGATGAACAAAAACAGCACTTCCTGCCCGCCCTGTAGCTATATTGAGTGATTCGTCAGTGTATATAGTCTGTATTATCTTGTTTTCAGTTTGTATATTGTGAATGTGTTCTATGGTGCTTAATTTAGCAGCAAGCTGAGCATGAGGGTTGTTTGTGATTTTTTTTGTGTGAAACACATTTTATTGTGTTTCTTGGTGGGGTATGCAGGCGTCAGGATGTCAAAAGGTACTATCTGCCAGGGTGGAAGGAAGTGCTGTTCATTTTCATCTGTACATACATCGTGCAGTCCCATCATTTGAATATGAGTGGATGTTCTTTGAATCCATTTAGACTCGCTGGTTCCATTTCGTATGTGTTCTAACAGTTCAACTGACACAATATTGTTTTTGCTATCACGCAGAAGCTTTAGTCCCATCATAAGATTGATTTAAAATATTCTATCTCGAATGCTAAGTATATTTAATTCTTTCCGCATATTGAGAACTTTGGTAGTTATAGGACAGCCAAGTATAATTCTGAGTGCTTCATTTTGCATTTTTTCCAGTCTACCAATTCTTTTGCCAGTTTGCAGGACCAAAGCTGGTGCATGATAGTCTATCAGAGACCTTATATATGCTAAGTACATCATTTTTGCAATTCTAATATTAACACCGTATTTAGGGCAATACCCCACTACAGTTCTGAGAGCCCTGAGTCTGTCTCCACATTGTAGA